ACACTCTGTTATAATTTTTTTAGTATATTACTTGTGTGGTGTAGAAGAGAATTATTTATGTAGAGATACTGCTTGCAAACCAGTGATGGTAAGATGATGTCATGGGGTAAGACTGGATAAGTCTGACTTCTTCCTACTCCATTCAGGCATGTACTAGGTATAAGCAAATTGATATTGGATTAGCATTTGTTGGATATGTGTAAAATTATGTGTGTTGACATATCAACTGTCTTTACATGCTTGAAAGAATAAATCAAATCAAATCAAATCAAATATAGCTTCTGTGATAGAAATTTCCCTCATCCTTCCCTCTGTCAAAGCTTTTATCTGCAGATACTGCTCAACTTGGTAAAAAAGGTCAATTAGTGCTCTAATACTCCTCCACCAGGAACCTGAGGAACACCAGCTCTGGCCATTCTTCCTCTGTAGCCACACTCAGACTGTGTGTCTCCACCTGGGACCTCCCACCTCAGGCTGAATCCTGGAACTGAGTCTTTGTGGGTCCTTTGCCCATTTCCAAAGTAGTTTACACAGCAGCAGTCTATGAGAAACCATTCTACTTTTCACATCTCTCGCATAAAAGCTAACAGAGCCCTTTGCTACCCACCTCCAGGTGCTCTTCCCCCATCCAGCTAATTGACAGGAAACCTGCTTTCACCGTTTGTCACCTCCTGTAGTCACGGTGCAAATGAAGAGGACTTCAATACCTGGTGCTCCGCCAGATGTTGGTTCCAGTACGGGCCATTCTGAACCCAGTCTTCATCATGACCACCGGATCATCCTGGATGGATATCATGGGCCGTCCTTTCCACTGCTAACTCTCACTTTGCAGACTTACCCCTCTCTTCCTGCTCTGTATTCCCCTGTTTCTCACCAACCCAGTCATATCACTCCTGACTATTGTTTTAATACAAACTTGGAAAAACAGTGAACATACCCTTTAAAGGAATACTCCATTTAAATATTCTGAACTCCAAATACTTGTACCCTGAACAATGTCCACTTGCAATAAAATGCTAAATACACAGAGTTTCTGACAGAGCTCCAGGGCCATTAGGAGGAGCTATTTTATAGAGAACATACAGAGTTTAAAGTATCACCAGAAAACATACGTGTTATGCTGCAGAGGTGGTCTAAGAAGTGTCTATGGATGTTGCTATGACTCTGGGTCTGCATCAAAAATTTATTGCAACTCTTATGAATCTAAACTGACAACACCTTCTGTCCTCAGTGATGGAGCAGGATACAAAACCTTCAGAGCCATCTCCATAGGCGGAGACATTGCACCAGCTACTGCCATCATTAAAAAATGCATCTACCTTTAAGTGTTGATTATAGATTAACTTACTGTCTATAGGGCTGCGTATGGGGTAAGACTTGGTGAAGTTGCTGACACAGCTGAGGAGCTGAGCATTGTGGCTCTGACAGTAGTCTTTAACAGCATTGATCTGGGACACAGTGGGCGTTGAGTCAGTCCTGAAGATGGCCTGGCAGTACTCCCTACATGTTGTGTGACGTCCTGCATAGCTGCAGCATGTGGAGCCCACTGTAGGAATGCACACAAATACACATTTGGATAATCTCTTTTGACAGTGACTAGAAAGTTATACAGGAAGTTACATGACCTCAATCTTCAAGGCAAATAACAAGTTTGCTGTGTGTGTGTGTGTGTGTGTGTGTGTGTGTGTGCAAGAGTGCATGTTGTCCATGTATAGTATAACAGTGCAAAAATGAGACAGACAGAGAAAGAACACAAACAAGTCTATCTGTGGTGCAAAACAACAGCTCAGCGTGTTTATTTATCTAGCTCTAGGGAGGGATTGGATCAATGTTTGCAATTGTTGGTTTCTTCACTGTCCATCCTGTGTACGTGAGTAACAACTTACTTTCATTTTTGGTGATGCAGCTGTAGAGGGAGTTCTAGAAGAAGAAGAGACAAACTGTGGTGATACTGGCCATTCTCGTCAAGATAACTCACAATCTAAAGCGGTATAAAACAAAGCAGCATTTTGAAGCACTGTGTCAGCGGTTCCCTATGGTTTTGCTTGCGACTGCAAACAAATGCTGCTGAAAGTCATTAAGAGCACAAACAAAGAGTGATTTTTTTCTTTTCAGGCTGTTTCATCTAGGTGATTTTTTTAAGGCCTGAAGAGGTGAGGTTATCTAGTATATACACACAAAAAAAACAGTCAAATCTGAAGTAATAAAAAAGAAATGTGTGGCAAAATGTTTGATCTTCTTTATTCTTTTAACCAACTCCAAGCCAGGAACCACCGCTTTGTCTTTTCATTAAGATTAATACAGTCTCATCTTATTTAAAAAAAGTATTGCTGAAGTATGATGGACCCCTCCTTTATCAGTTTTCAATTTCTTTTCAATTTATGTTGTTTTCATTAAAAGAAAATTTTAAATATGTCAAATTAACAATTGGATCTATACACTTCTTTTCATTAACTTTTCAGTCATTTACTGAGAAACAGATTTTACTTCTGTGAAATTTCTGGACTTACCTCTGTGACTTTTTTGCATACTTTGGTTATGTCATTTTTAGATGATGCCTATAAGGGAAAGGAAATAAAATCAAAGCGGGTCATGAAAACCAAACTTTCTGTTTCTGCAGCACAGATGGGCTTCACTTAAAAAGTGAATGAAGGTCTTAGCAACATTGATGTTGGGCGGCCATTCTTAGAAAGAAAGGTGAACAAACTATTTTACAATTTCTCACCTGCCTGCATTCCCTGCGACACTCAGCTGAGATAGCCAGTTCACAGCAGCCCAGTCCCACCCAGCTGTCTGGCTTCCTGGATACACCTGGAGACAAATCAAACACCACAATCTGCTTGCACACTTTGCGGAGGCTAAATTATTGATTGGGGTAACATTACTAAATGCTTGATATATGAGTTATCAACTGCCAATGTGGTGCATAGTGCTTCTTTAATTGCTGTAAGTTAATCTGATCAAACTGGCTACAGACATATTAGCTTAATGCTGATAAATTGCTATCATAAGGACTATTTTTTGATGTGGATTGTTGCTGTGCCGCAAACTAAACACCATTCAAACACCATGCCTGAAATTCTAGATAAAAAGCAAGGTGCTGCCAATATCAAACTTTTTAAAAATGTAAATTACAGTTCATGAAACACTGAAATTCTTGTCCACTTTGCACTGTGGCTTCAATACTATCTACAGTCTGAGTACAGTAAACTGTGTTTCACTGTCAGGCTGATGATCTGTTGCCATATATTTTATGTAATTCAGTGAGTAGAGGAGTTCCATGTTTGCAGTAAAGTTGCAGATATTGTTGCATTTAGGCATCAAAACTGAAACCTTTCTGTAATAAAGCACTCAACAAGCCAGAGAAAATATAAGTTATGATTCTCCAGAGGAAATGAAATTCGGACTTTAGCTGACAATAAAAATGTAGCAAAAACTCTGATGGTGTTAGACTCATCCTGAACACAGCTGCTTTGTTTAACTGTAGAAACTGTGACTCTGTGTGCAGCAGCTGACCAGTTTGCTGTGCAGAAAAACATTTAGGATCGCAAGGCTACTGTCACAGCAGATTTACAATAATACTGGAGTTAACACTCTCAGTGTAGACACACGGCATATGGATGCTGTTGCTATTCGATGGCTGTAGAGATTTAACAAAGTCAAAGAAAAGGAATGACATTTTACATTTGACAGGTCAGTGTGACACCGTGTCTGAATGCAGATGTTTCCAAGTGTGAGAGTTGCCAGCGTTCCCTGAAGCAGTGGGAGCAGAGCTTACAGTCTGACCAGAGGGAGCTATTTTCCTTAACAGGGCTGATGTTTCCCAGACTCCCGAGTCTGTCTGGACGTCAGTGGCTGTTAGGTACATTCAGGTAAGACTAACAATATCTCCCAATCTGGAGGCAGTTGGGCTCTGACAGGTAGATTTGTTCCAAGCACAGACAGCAGGGTTTAGGTCTTTGATCCAGTGCCTGCTTTCAGCTCTACTCAGGGCCAGCTTTCATCACAGCTTTAACAGTTTCACTTGCTACCATTTGTCTTCTCATGCAATCAAAAACACACAGTGGATACAGCTTAGGGTGAATGTCATTACTAGGAATGTTTCCTCTAAAAGGTTTTTTTTTTTAAAGCAGCAGGCTGTTGAGCACACGTCCACAATAGAATGGTTTAAAATACAATTGTTATAGATTGGGTTATTCATCCTCTACTTGTCATGTGTGTTAAATTACAAAGAGCTTTTAAAGCTGTAGTAATAAATATTGAAGAATGAAATGCCTCAACACAGAAACAGGTGTATGACCCGGGGCACAGCCCAACACAACCCACAGCCATGAATGCAGTCCCTCGTTTGTCTCAATATACTGTATATAACCTCATCCTGAGAAACACATCTCAATAAATGAAGTCCTTTTTTTAGCCACACCAGGACCATATCATCCATGTAGTGCAATAAATTCACATGGTGTGAAGAATTGGGTTGATGGGGCCTTTTCCAAATACTACTACTACTACTAGGAGGTGCTAAAGTCAGAAACTGGAAAAACCCTGTACATTTAGGCTTTGACAGCAATCAGCGCTCTCTCTTACCTGGAAGTGTAGTGTTGATGCAATGCCACAGCTCAGTCTAAAAGATAAGGGAGAGAAAAGGGGTCATGTCAAATGTCTTTTGTGGTTTAATATAAAACAAAACACTTGCTGAAAGCATTTTAAAATGTTCAGTTTAGAATTATTTTAATCATGTAAACAGCATTTGATATCATGACAGGAAACATTTAAATTTTTTATGTCATACTGCACAGTTTTCGGTTAAATACACTTGTCTTACAGTATTTTTGCATCCGTTAAGCTACATACGAAGAGGACAAATGTTCAAATGATGGAAAACATTTAGGTCTGCCTAAGTGTAATGACTCGTGTGGCTCTATAGATTGCTGGTCAGAGATGAGACAAGCAGCAGACCAGACTTTCTGCTTTGTAATTAACCATAATTGGAGGAAGGACCGCCCCTGTGTATGTGCACATGTGTTTAAACCAGGTGCCACAATATTCTGGCAACCATAACCACAATCCACTTCCTGTATAAGTCTAATGACAGAGCTGATGCTAATTTTGTATTAACACTGTCTAAGAATTAACCACCAACAACACAAGGCAAAAGAAGATGTGCTCACAGTTAAACCAAACTTACATTTTACATCAGTAGCTTAGCTACTGTAAATAATTATTCACACAGATATAACACGGCCATTCAAAAAAGTTTCAGCTGTGAGTTCTGCAACATGCAGCGGTGGACAACACATTTTCATTCAGCCAGTCAAGGAAGTCCAACATCTTCCTCCAACACAGCTAATGACTCTGTGCCGCACTGTTAAAAACTCAGTTTTACAGAATGTTCCTCTTTATTTCCATGTCTCCAACATACAGGGAAAAGGCAAATAAATATACTGGGAAATAACATGCCAAAGTTACAAGAACAGGAAAATCCTGTAGCTGTGCATTACCATAAGGTTCACATTTATAAAAGATTTTCACATAAAAATACAGTTAGAATTGCATAACAATTTTACAAATATTTAACATTCACTGTTTCATAATTTGAATTAGCAGACTTCCCAGCATGCACTGTATAAGAGTTAAAGGTCTTCAGTTAGTCATTTTTTCCAGTTTGGCTGTAGTATGCCTGTGAAGAGCAGTAAAAATACCACTAACTGGCCTCATAATAGCTGCCATATAAACTTTTGTACTTGAGTCATTTTATGGACTCACCATTGACTCTGGACAGTAACTGGGTAACCTCTGGAGGAGATGCTTCAGACGAGACTCACTCTTTATAGTGGCAAGCTGCAGGACAAAGCAAAGCACTGAATTAGTACAACACATTGTAGGTCCATGTCATGTACCATATGTGTGCACATGAATGATTTCTGAGTGAAAGAAAGAAGACTGCAGAAAACATTTTCATGATAGTCTTTGTGCTATTTGTTATCAAGTGTCATTATCATTGTTGTCCTCAAAGCCCGAATGGCTGGGAGTGTCATCTCAGCATCTGACCAAGTAATGGACATTATTATATTTGTTTTCACCTGCTTATTTCTTACAAGACTTCTAGCTTCTGCATGTAAAGTTTCTCCTTTCACAGCAGTTTGACATGTCTGTGAATGGAACAATTTGGGGACTTTAAATATGCTAAAGATCGAACATTACAAGCACTCCCCAGCTCATGAACAGCTGGCATTTAACTGGGCATCAGGGAAACAAGCACTTTAAGACCGGTTTGTGCACAAAGTACAACCCATCTTCTCTCACAGATATCACAAACACACTTCTGGAATGATCATGGCTCCCTAATTCTAGTTCCATGGAGTTCAAAATATAAAGAAATGTAAGCCTTAAAAATGTGGCCAAGCAAACTATGGTCGCTGTGTCCATGAGATCACTTTACTTCCAATTATTCAAAGCATGATGGGAACTCTGGTGTGAAAATTAACTGATTCCAAGAGAAAAAGAAAAGATGAGACCAAATCCAGTAAATAACTTCATTTGTTCTACACTATTTTTCTTTAATGAACTTAATTGGCAGACTGTATCATCAACATGGTTCCTATGCCACTAGATCATTCACACTTCCCTCGGTCCACTGTTTAAAGATACGGTATTTGTCATCTGTTGAAAACATGTGGAGCTACAAGCAGAAAAATAAAACAAACTAAAATATGAATCAAGCAATTTCCAAATACTTAATTGCATATTATTATAAAATAATCTTTTTCAATTTAAATTATTCAAGCATTCTTAAAACAACAATATATGACATGACTATAAAACATGTTGTGGCTGCTGTAACCCTAGTAAACGGAAAAAAAAGTCTATAGATATAAAGTAGTTGAATCAATTCACTTTCAGATGGCAATAAATTACTGTAGATAAATTCCATTTTTCTGCAGCTGCGATTCAAACCTCTGACTGGTTTCTCCTGTCTATAAATGGTACAGTACTATGATTAAATTACCAGCAGACCCCTGTGCTGTCAAGGTGACGAACACTGAAGATAACAGTGGGAAAAACTTTGAGAACCTTTGTGAGAAGGTGCAATGGGAAATTCTTCAGCAATGGCAGAGATTTGCTCTCTACTTGCTATTGTTTGGTGTGGGCCAGAGATTTTCTAACTGTAAGGCACAGGAGAGTTGAAGTAGAGACATAGGGAGAGACATGAGGCTAAGACAAGTGAAACGGAAAGACGGCGTTCCTAAAACAAAGGCAAGTTAGTTATTGAAGTGTAGTTGCTAAAGCAGAAGTAAGACAATAATAATAATAGGAGTTATAAAATCTACTTTTAGTGTTTTCCTCATACTGCACTTTAAAAATCACCACAGAGCCTATGAATGCCCCAGTACTAGCCATCAGCAATATCATGGGATGAGTCTGTCGACCAATCAGAGGCTGTGCTCCTGACTTGTCAATCAGCCTTTCTGATTGGGTGGCAGTTAATGTCATGTTTAAGTTGTAATTGGCAATTTTTAAGTTATTTTATTCTTATTACACTTTTATGTTTTGTGCATTCATAAATTACAATAGTTGTCAAAATCCCTGTTTATTTGATTTATTTCTTAATGGGTCTATATTTTGGACAAGTAAGTTTGGTACAACATGTCAGGCAAGTGGCTGAAAAAGCTTAATGTCAGACCCTGCATGACCTCTGTGACAAGTCACTTAAAGATAAACCTACCGTTTCTCTGTCCGTGGGATGTGTAAATAGACAGCTGCTAACAATTTTGCTATATAAAATGATACAATGGGGATGATACACTAGGGAGCCAAAAATAACGTACTGCAAGTTACATTTAATTTATCTTATGCTGCTTCTATTTTACTTTTGTAATGCTGTAATCTTTCTATTTTACTTTTGTGCCTAACATGCTCCTTGTACGCTTCATTCTTATGTTTAATATTCTCAATTTGCTCCATTTCTAATGCCCTTTACTGTTACAGTTTGCTGCTACAACCCCCTGGTGGCCCCACTACATTCCTAAGGTTTCTTATGTTTCACTTCACTAAAAAGAAAATTAAAGGCATCTTTTCAGTTCTGCTATACACCACTGTCTATTTGGAGTTTATTCACTTCCTTAGGCCAGGCTGCAGGTGGTCAGAATGTGGCTGTAATCAGCAGTTTTTGGACTGTTCTTTGGTGGAACAATTTAAATCAAAGGAGCACAAAGGCAGACTGACAGCAACTTTATCTGCTCCTTTTCCAAATGTGTGTATATCCCTGCTGAACTCACA